CGGACCCGTATACAGAGACCATCACTCCTCAGGCGATTGGTAAGCAGAGTAGGGAGGTGGGGAGTACAAAGAGGGAATCGGGTGGGGAATGCATTCCTTTACCATGCCAGCATCCATGCCAGGGGAAACCTCGTGACAGCTTGCTCAGTCGACAACCACACCCTCCCTCCACTTCACGGAGCCGAAATCACTCGTGATTCACACACCGCGCACACTTACAGCACCGCCGCATATTCCAGGAAAATACCGCGCACTCCCAGTTCGCATATGCGAGCGCAACAGCGCATAGCATCTCCTTCACCATTCAACCAGCACCCACCTCCCTCCACAAACCAACTCGTACCGCAACCGCAATCGTCCCCCTCCTCCCAGTCGCGACCCAGCACTGCAACCGTCAATAATCAAAGACTCGCTCCACCTTCTCACACGCAATCCCCATCCAGGACTCCACCCGGCAAACACCAAAGGAACGCGAGTACCAGTAAACAAGCAAAGACCGTCGCTCCCACGATCTTCCCAACACACCAGCTCATCTGAGATCAGAGCCCCTCGACGTCATCTCACTGGGGCATCATCATATCCCATTGGACGACGCGTCTTCACCAACCATCACCACTCCCACCCCGGCCGTAATCACTACCGCCGGAAATGCCGATAATTGTCAAGGGCGACCTACTGCTGCAACCCGAATAGCCGCACATCATTAGGTGGCGGGCAGACTCCATGCGTCGGGCAAGTGCTGCCGAAACATTGGCAGGGGGTTCCTCCGTACGCATGCGATAGTATAGTCCGTCGGAGAGGAGTTCCTTATGGACAGGCCGGTATAAGTACAGGCCCATCCGCATCAAAATCAAGTGCCCACCGATCTAACAGGGTAAGCGTCCCTTGAGAAGGGGGGGGGGGGTTTCGTCGTACGGGCCCCTTGTACACCAGAGTTTCCCCAACCGGGCACAGGTAGGCCCCACCCCAAGGGGGCATTTCATCAGACAAGGGACCGCCGATTGAAAGAAGCATCATGAGGCTCTCTACTAACAGTCAGAAACATCCTGCTAGTCCCCAAAAAAACGACGACGATACAGTCCATACGGTGGGTTATAACATTTTCCCAGGGGGTCCTTGCTGTGCCAGAAAAAATCGGTATGGGTAAATCACAGATTGGCCACCCCTCTTTTTTTCATAGAAAGACGAGGGTTCGGGCAACCCAAAAAGAGTTCCCGGGTCTTATGCCAAAAGTGAGCGCATGTGTGTGTGTGTGTGTGTGTGTGTGTGTGTGTGTGTGTGTGTGTGTGTGTGCCCCTCCCCTGCCGCAGCTAGAGGTAGGCTTGCTATGACAGGTAGTGGGTACCTGCCATAGGCAAGGTACCAACTAGCTATCATAGCAGCCCTGCTGGTTGGGGGCTCAACTATGACACACCATCCCATCACAGACAACAAACATGCTCACGTGGCAACAAGCATTCAACAAAAGGTAAGCACAATCAGCAGGGAACTCACCTTAAGAATCAGCCTTGTCTCTGTGACGTCAACTCCGGGAGGGAGGAATAACTGAGGATTGTCAAGGACCCTTTTCACACATGCCATGCATCTGTGTCTGACAAAACCATTGTCAACCATGTATCCCACTATTCTCATTATCTCATGTGCAGCATTCGTTGGATCAGAGCAGACAACCAATACCTTTGCTACCTGCGGAATGATGATGTTGAGCGACTGCTGCACATGTCTATTCGAATGATATCTTACGTACCGTACAATCGGGAAGGGGAGGGTAAGCCTCTTGTCGTACTTGTCTTATATTTACCAGTTTCACTGGAAAGAACAGTTACCTTGGAATCCAGGAACTGAGCCTTGAGGCCAAAAATTTCCCCAGCGGGTCCAGGGGTATACAACTCCGTCTGATTCTTGATCTCAATAAGGTGCAACGGGTACAGATAAAACGGGTTTGAGGATTCCCTCGGGATGTCCGGGTTAAGGAACATCATGATTGACGGGTTGTTCAGTACGTGCAAATCGTCAATGTACCTGAATGCATACTTGAACAGCGGGAGCGGTGGTAGGCTTTCAAATCAATCAATCTCACTATGAGCTGATACTCATACTTGAAAAAGTAAACAGTACACCAAATAGGGGAACAGGGGAGACCCATGGGGATGCCCTGAGTCTGCCTCCAAATCTTGCCTCCAAACATGCAGAAGCACCTTGCAAGCAACCACGAGGTGATCCGTTCAGCATCACCCATCTCCAAGGCAAAAACCTGCTCGCTCTGTGAAACCACCCGGCTCTTAGTGACAGTGCAGGAAAACTCACCATTAGAAGCTCTTCTACACCTAATGAATGAACCCAGATTCATTTTGCAAGCATACTTGATGCGAGGTTGGTGAAGAGGTTGATCGCATCTGGTAGTCCGTCAACACTCTCATCAATTGGTATTGTCTCAAAGCATCTGGTGATGTCGGCTGAGAACACAGAGTAAACCTTCTCGGGGAGGTTCCAACAGTAGTCCTGCACTGACTCGACAGACCACCATATGGATGTCTCAATTCCGTGAAATCTGGACAGCGTGTCAGTGATCTCCTTGCACGCTGCCATTACCAATGGTGTAATGCATTTCAACACAGCGTCGCAGAGAGCAGCAACAGGGGTGAGAAATGTGAAGGAGGCACTGGTAAGCCACCTGAATGTAAGCTTATGATGTTTATACAAAGCCATCAAATACGGAAGCTTCTGTGGCCCCAAACTTACCCATGGTAACAGTGTGTCCTAATGAGATGGACACATACGAATGAGGGGGTGTTCCCAGCCTTGTCAGTGCCCGCAATGAACACTCTGTTCGTGAGAAAAGTGATCTCATCATTGACATCCGTCCTCCTGGTATCACAGGCGGAGTCCCTGCATCTTCTAAGTGATGGGATGGCCAACTGCCGTTTAAGCAGATCAGAAATGTACCGGTCAGCATGTTCAATCCCGCTGGTCCTCATCAACCCTTTCCTCGCAATAAACTGCTTAATCACCTCCCAGGCTCCCATGAACTTGTGAAGAGCAGGGGCCACAACTCTAGGCTGGGGGGGGATATGATTAAGCCCTTGTTTCAGCAAGTTCCGTAATCTCAAGTTGGAGGAAACAGCAGGGTCCATAGACAGGGTGTGGGTAGATGCAGTGGAAAAAGGCTGCGACATCGAAAAGGTGCACGGATGATGGAATGGTGAGAATCTGTCCGTGTTACAAGGACACTTCGGGGATTTAGCACAGAAACCCATCCAATCGTCCAATGAAAAATCGTGAAAGACTTTAGCTGGTTTATAGACTAACGACTCCAAAGTATCCATGTAAGACCATCCAATCAACACCAGGGACAGGAGGGCAACGGCCTCGGGGAAGAAACATTCCACCGTTTTCTCAAGGATAGAGCGAAAGTGGACAGTCGCCATGATACGACTAACGTATCTTAGATGGACAAAGCACTCCATCCCTTTCGATCCAGACTTTTGCCACCTTCTCCTCCCCGATGGATCATTCACAAAAGATCCCTCACATTCCTGCAAAGCAAAACACAAAATAGAGCAAGAATACACAGAGGAGGTGAGTAACACACCATTTCATGATTTGAACAGGTTCTTCACTGCAGCCAAGCCCCTAGGGCTCCTCCTCAAGGATCTGCTGCTAACTGAGGTCTGCCCATCGGCTTGCGTAGATACGCATGACTCCGGAGGAGTGTTATTCACACCGGATGCTCCAGCCGCCGCCACCGGGGAGTGGTCACCCTGCGGTCTGACAGAGAATGATAGGGTAGTTTGCCTAGCTTCCTTCGTGCGTCTTGCACGAGCATCGGCCATCATGGACTTCCTCTTCTTATGGGTTGCATCGGTGACGAATCTGGGAGGGAGAATCAGGTGGGCCATGGTGCGAGGGAACTTGTGCATCAACAAGGCCCTATCATCAAGGATATTGTCAGGCCTTCTGGAGGGATCAGACAAGACATTGAAGGCCATGGACTCCATGATCTCCCTCATGTGCCTGAACACCACACAGGTAAGCACAGCTGCACGCCACCTGGTCTTCAGCAGAACCCTGAATGCCCTAATACGTGCCCTCAGCGGGGGGCAGCCAGGAACAAATACTCAAGATTAGCAAGCACATACCATAAAACATGGTCCAGCCATGTGATGTTCTTCTTGCAATCCCCCTTTCCCTCCTGGATACAGCGACATTTCAAGTAGGGCCGCCCTACATTCCATATGCGCTTTAGTTCAACCAGCGCTAGCTGTCCCTTTGCTCCTAAGAATCCTCTAACCGCGAGCGCAGGCCTCGTAACTACACACTTTGCGCGATCAATCTCCCCAATCAGAGGGAAATTCATGTCGGCCGCTGTGAGGGGGTAGTTTCCCCTAACAAGCTCAATGTTCTCCGATAGGGACTTGTCATTACAAAGCCTCATCTCCTCCTGTGTGAGGTTGGCAAGGAACCGGTAGGAATCACTACTGATCGGGGCAGAGTGATTATATGTGGGTAACTCCCATACCTTGTAATCCAGTTTCACCGACTCTGACTCCACCCATCTACTCGATGCTAAGGGCAAAAAGGCGTTCCTAGTATACTTGTTCACCTCCGATTTCTGATTCTCCTCAACCGGCTTTGCTACCTCTACCTTACTTTCTGCTACCATCTGTGCATGGTACGCCTTTTCCTCCTCGGTCAGGCACAGACCCTCGTCATCATCCTCCCCCTGGGAGCTCGGTGTACCGGGACCATCCTGATCCTCCGCAAATACAAGACCCGAATGAAACGCTGACTCGGCACCCCACATGTCAACAAACATCTTCTCCTTCATCGTGAGTTCATTGCGGATAGCCATCCCGACGAACAGATCCTCCTGCTGCGTTTCACGGGCACGTGTGACTAGGCTCTTTGTGAGTACAGGGAAAGCAGGTCTGTCATGAGCAGCTGTCCAGAGGAGGGACGCCCAGTCATCGAATGACAACATAGTGATGAGGGGAGGAGTCCAGTGGGGAATATTGAGTGAATGGACCTTTACGAATTCCAAGACCTTGGGAGGGGAGAGGGAGATGACGGTCTGGGTAGGGCGAGAAGGCGGAGGGAAAGCATCCAGCCATGCATCGTCTCCATTCAGCAGTTCCCTGTACCACCCGTTGGCCGAGAGCGGAGGCGCCTGTAACAGAAAACCAATGTTCGTAACATAGCATAGCAGGATCAGGAGTTAGTACCCACATTTCATAGGCAAACAGAACCCAAAAAGAAGGAATCACTCATTTCTCCGTGATGGTGTTATTGGCAAAAGGTGCGCAATCCATAGGCCCGCCCTAGCATACCACTGACAACCACAAGGCAAGGAGGGATCATACCTCCCTGCGGAAAAATGAGGAAACGAGAATCCTCTGTGTGTGTTGAGATAAACAGCGCCCCACAAACGCGGCGAGCAGCGTAACTGAGTATGCATACACGGAAACCCAAGGAAAAACCATAGATCGTCA